TGCTTTATTTTCTTTTTTCTATTTACTTTACAGGATAATCTGCTCCTGAATGTTCTGACCACCACAGCTAAAATGGGATTTGAAGATAACAAATCAAAACAAAAAGGAGTGTTAAACTGTTCCGATCCTTGCATTACTTTTCTCCTACTTTACATTACCTGTGTTTCTGCTCCTGTCGGCGGATTTTTCCTGGAGAGTTGCCACCTCAGCCATAACGCAGCCATTTGTAGCGACAGACATCTTAAACTTGTTCCTAAAGACATTCCACCTACAGTGATAAGTTTTGATTTATCTAAAAACCAAATCTCAAGAATTCAAGCTGGTACTTTCACAAATCTACTGGTTCTGAAAGATTTGAATCTTCATCAAAACCAAATTTTAAAGATTGACAATGGAAGTTTCTCCAATTTGATCTCCCTTCAGAAGCTGACTCTAAACAACAATAGACTTGTTAAACTAGGGCAAGGGACTTTTGATGGGTTGAGCAACCTCCTAGAGTTACGACTTAATACTAATAATATTGCTGCAGTGTCATCCACCGCTTTCCAGTCCTTGATAAGGTTAAAACTTTTGGATATTTCTCAGAACCACCTTGGAACAATGAAAAATCTTTATATGATGCTGCAGCATATGCCACAGCTGCAACAGTTTACAGTAAGACGAAATAAATTGAAACATTTTTATTCATGGGAATTTACAAACCACTCACTTGATCTACAAGTCCTTGATTTGTCTAATAATCCAATAAGGGACTTCAGAATTACCAATAATATCTTTCCAAACTTGACTTGCCTTTCCATTGGAGACCCTTTCAGTGTCATAAAAATGGAATGGGACGTGAAAAACAAGACCTTCCTAAGACAAGTGTCCAGCATAGATATCAGTGGGCTTCATACAACTCTTCAAGTCATGGAAGAATTGCTTGAAACAGTGAACACATCGCTAACATCTCTGGCAGCGAATGGAATAAAACACAATCGGACCAAATTAATCAACCTTGCTTGCTCCATTCCAACGTTGTCCCAATTTCAGTTTCGCAGAGGCAATCTTAGAATCATCACTTCAGACTTTTTGAAACCATGTGTTCACGTAACTGAATTAGATTTATCCGAGAATCATATCAAAACTATCAACGAGAATGCCTTCAAATCTATGGAAAAATTAACTGTATTGAGGCTGAGTCAGAATAAACTTTCAGTGGTTCCTTCTGCCATACAGACGCTGCAGAATCTGTCCGAGCTTGACCTCAGCAACAACTTAATCGGCACCGTTAATTGTCATGATTTCTCCAATCAGACAAAGCTTAAGGAACTAAACCTGAAGAATAATTCAATAACCCTAAAAGACTGTGTTTTCAAAGACTTGGTACGACTCCAGGTTCTGAGATTACAGTCGAATCAAATTACAGATTTAAAAGGAGCTTTTAAGAGCTCTCTGTCCAATCTGAAACGGCTGCATTTGAATGGAAATAAACTAAAAGCTATTCGAAATGGGGAATTTAATGGACTGAAATCTCTGTTGAATCTGTCACTGCATCAAAATCAAATAGAGACCCTTGATAAATACTCTTTCGTTGGATTGATTAAACTCACTGATATTCAGCTTCAATCAAATGCTCTGAAAAAAATCACCTTTAATCTTCTTGCTAACCTGAGACGATTGGATTTAAGTGATAATCGCATCCAATATCCTGAAAATGCAACTCTAACAGAATTACCATTTTCTAACCTTTCCTGTTTGGAAGAGTTGTCTATTAATGCCCAGCACCACAGGGGGAAGTCTACTCTACCTTCCAATTTCCTCCAAGGGTTGAAAAACCTTTTACGTTTTAGCGCTAGGAATTGTCAGCTTATCTATCTTGACAAAGACACATTTACATATACACCTAAACTGGAAAGACTTGATATAAGCTCAAATGATTTGCAGACTCTGTCTCCAGAACATTTTGCCCCAATTCGAAATCTTAAAAGTCTCTACATATCCAGGATTGCTCTTCAGTCGTTGGATTTCCTGAGAGATGCCAAGCTGACAAAGCTGAAGTTCCTGCAGGGAAGACACAATCAATACTCAGTCATCACTGAGGATGTAATCAAGTCGCTTCCATCTCTCATGTATTTAGACTTAAAATACATCAGTTTCTATTGTGCCTGCGACAATGCCTGGTTCATAAACTGGACAAGAAACAGTAAACAAACACTGGTTAATGGTGCATATAACTATTCATGCAACTATCCAGATAATTTCAAAGGCAAAAAGCTTTTGGACCTAGACTTGAAGCCTTGCTTATATGATGTCAACTTCATCAGCTTTGTGTCCACCTCATGTATCGTTTGCTTTGTCATGGTTGGATCCTTCGCTTACCATTTAATGAGGTTGCAGCTGTACTGTGCATACTACTTGTTACTTTCTTGGCTCTTTGACTCAAAGTATAAAAATAACCAAGCTCCTCACCAATATGATGCCTTTATATCCTACAACTACCACGATGAGCCCTGGGTGATGGGTGAACTGCTACCAAAACTTGAAGGAGAGCAAGGCTGGAGGTTATGTCTGCACCATCGAGATTTTCAACCAGGTAAGACCTCTTATACTCAACGTGTAGTTATGGTGTTTGTGGTTCAACTGTAAAACACCTTGAAGTTTTCTTGTAAAGTTGAAAAACATTTTACAGAAACTCAGAAAAAGTTGTTCCAATCACCACTTTAGATCTTATTGCATAAAACAGCAGCAAAGTTATTTTATTAGCATCTTTATTCAAGTCAGGAGACTTGACCAAAAGCACTTCACACTACAGTCATTCACCCATTCACTCACACACTGATGGTGGCAAGCTACATTGTAGCAACAGCTGCCCTGGGGCTCACTGACAGAAGCGGGGCTGCCATACACTGGCGCCACTGGGCCCTCTGACCACCATCAGTAGACAATGCAGGTGAAGTGTCTTGCCCAAGGACAAAACGACACTGACAGTCATCAGTCCTTCGATTTCAGGGCAAACTCCTATATCCAACGCCACTGTCGCCCCGGCTAATGTGTGCCCACATTAAAGTGGCATTAGTGGCATTAAAGCATTTCAGCTCGAATGCAGTCAATGTTGTGAAGACAGCTGTACTACAGATGGTGCTACTACACTGCTCCTGTCAATAAAGACCAATTATTTCTGCATGAATTTTCTAGGACGTTCAATCTTAGATAACATCACAGATGCCATTTATGGAAGCCGGAAGACCATCTGTGTCATCAGTCGCAGATACCTGGAGAGCGAGTGGTGCTCCACAGAGATCCAAGCAGCCAGGTATTGAAGTTAAACTTGTATTCTTATTACCTTTATAGGTATTGCAGCTTGGCTCAGTCTCCATTTTTGTGGGATGTATATTAGAATTTTAAAATAACAGTAGAACACAATGTAGATTTGTTGTTCTTATTTCTGCTTTTTTCATTATTCATTGAGTGGATCTTTCTAGGCTATTAGTATACCAGACATATAGCACTTAATGTATTTAATGTCCTTCATTCACTCCTGCTTTTCTGCTACAGCTACCGTCTCTTTGACCAGAAAAAGGATGTACTGATCCTGGTGTTTCTTGAAGACATTCCCACATACATGCTGTCTCCTTTCCACCGCATGAGGAAGCTACTGAAGAGGCAAACCTACCTGAGCTGGCCGAGAGCAGCAGGACAGCCAGGAGTGTTCTGGGAGAAGCTGAGAAAGGCTTTGCAGACTGGAAATGATCCGAGCGAGGAAAATGTCCTGCTGACCCTCACAGGGACGTAGGGATGAGACGGAAAATTCCGTTCCTCCTGAGAAATACTGTCTAGTTTTTCAGTAAATTATTAGGCAAAGAAAAAAAATGAAACTAAAGTACATTTAGCAAGTATTTTTACCACATTATTGTTAACTTAGAAGTGTTAAACCAAAGAAAACAATAACATTTACAAAATTAAAAGCTTATTGTTAAGTTTTAACTATTTGGTATGAGTTGGGTATTATTATACTCTGATGTGAGTATATCACTCTGTACTTCACTACCTCACTATGCCCAATAACACAGTCAAGAGCAATAATTGTAATTTGGTACTGAGCAGTACTGTAAACTGTAAATATTGTCGATTGTATATAATGTGATCCTTATCTTATTCTTATACTTATCTCATTTTATCCTAATATCTTATTTTACATTGTTTATATGGGAAGGGTGTAATTTTACTTTATGAGTTTTAATTTGACTAATTTTACTTATTTTATTCTGTCTTATTATACTATATTTTGTTTGCTGTATTACAATCTTATTTTTCTCTCTTCTGTAAACGGTTGCACTGCAAGAAAAGAATTTCCTGCAAAGCAATAATGTAGTAATTCTCATTCTGATGTAAGGCAGATGTTTGGTCATATATTTTATATTTTAATGGAAAGCTGTTTTGTTATGAACATCCCATTTATTGGACAAAAATAATTAGAAAAGAGTAAAACAAAAATAAGATGTGTTTCTATTTTCCCAAGTTCTCACATTCGGTGATGGGAGGGGCCAGTAGTTTTATACTAACAAAAAGTCAATTGGGGAAATAAAAAATGGTAAAGGAACAGAAACGAGGAAAGGAGGATAATAAGATTAAGATTTGGACACAAAGGACTACATAGTTCACTTTTTAAGATGCAAAAACATAATACCAGAAAATATGATTGTTGTAAGGGAAATGAAACAATAGAAGACGTTATATTAGAAGATCAAAAGTATCAAATAGAAATAGAATACAAGAGGAAAGAATTTGAGAAAATTAAGCACTTTTAAAATAATAGATATGTCACAAAAAATGTAGTAAGCAGGCAGATACAAATAATTTTAAGATTTATAAAAAGGACCAAATTGTTTAATAGAATTTGATTATGTAATAATTAAAACATTAATACATCACTTGACACACTCAAAACCAGTTGTTGGCGGTAATGCACAATTAAAGCTTTTTGCCCACCACCAAAAAAACACTTTACTTTTGACACTATTTTATTTTAAAAATCAAGCGATATAAACACCTATTTCTGTAAAACAAGAATGACATGAGGAGTCTTATATTGTAGTACTCCATCATCTGACACAGTACATCAAATTTGGTTAAAACCCCACAACAGCATAAAAACATCTGTGTGGCTCTGTGGAAGTGAAACTAAAGCCTCCTTCCGGCTTTAACGTTGCACATACACAGAGCCACAGCATCAAGCTGAGGTCCTTCCTGTAGTCTGTCTCTACCCTCTTTGCGTGCTGATTAAAAAAAATAAAAATAAAGTCAGGGCTTTGGCTTATTCCTTTAGCATTGGGAAACTCCTCCGATAGATAGAGAATTTGTAAAAACTGTTCCAAAAAGACTAAAAATAATTATTTAAAGGCTCAAAAAGGTCTTCAGGTCTTGTGCATTCCATTAAAATATGAAATACATTTTCAGACAGATCGGAGAAAGGACACTCACTCACTTTTAAAATACCACGATTGATAATAGATAAAAACGAGTTTGTGTCCATAGAATCATGTAAGGTCCTCCACAGGAGATAACCAATTCATTATTTAATTGGAAGCTTGTATAAAGTCCTCCATTGGGAATTTTTTCCCACAAGTGTTTCTGTCCGGATGCAGACTGCCTGGTTATAGAGCTGTCTTTGAATAATGACTTTTGTGCAACTGTGCTAAAGGGCTTTGCGGTCCATATTTAAAAGAACCACTTTCTGTGGGTCCAGGCTGGACAGTAGAGGTCCACTTTGCAAGGGGAAGCGAGGACCCTGGATCAGGCCAGGAAAGCGGTCTGTTGGATCCCGTTGGTTCTGACCCTCACAGTACGTACGAAGAAGGCTCCTCTCCTTGACCAAGAACATTTCCCCAAAAAGGTCCAGGAAGCACCATGCCATCCTCGCACACGGTACCCCTATCCCTGAACCCGTGTCCTCCATGTTAGAGAGGGACGGTCCTGCAGTCTCCACCAGCTGTCTCATTGTGGTCATCTTGGAATGGTGCAGCGCCTTGACATCCCTGGTCCCTCACAACCACACACATCCAACCTTGACCCAGAGATTAAAGGCTATTTTAAAAGCCAGTGAGTTAGACTTTTGCAATGATCTTAAAAAAATATGGCACATGATTTAATAAATCCCTGATAAAACTTGGGCAATCCCTTTAACTTTAAAAGATTTATTTATATCTGTTAAAAACAAAGCAACGTGCAGGTTGCTCGCAGGTCTAAAAATACACCTGAACACATCCTGCCAGGAGGCCCTACCAGGTATTTCTGAATAAAGCCTAATCTAAAAGCTGCTGTTCTTCTGGCTAAGTGGACAAGACCCTGGCCCCTCTCTTTTTAGGGTAAAAGGGGGCCTTAGGGAATGCTGGTGCTGCTGTAAATAGAACAGAAGTAACGTAATCTCTGATCCCTGTATCAGGGAATATGGAGTTGTGGAGTTACACCATTGCAAGTTTTATAACTTCTCAGTTTTATCTTTGTGACATCATAGATGGCGGGGCGGATCCTGGCGGTGATATGACATCTACATATGCCATTACGAATGCGGAGCTCCATATGGGGGGCAGTGGTTCCCCAGGCAGAGCTATGTGGGTTGCAACACTAGGTCAGAGGGGTACACGGCATCACAATCTGCCCCGTTGAGACAGATGCAAGAACAGGATATATGATGACTATGGGGTAAGCTAACCGTGCCTTCAGTCTGTGACTCACGGTGACAAACCTTCATGAAAAACTATGTTATTGTGGAAAAAAATTATCTTGACAAATGTCTAAAAAGAGGGAATAGAGGGTTTTATTTTATTTTGGGTGTCTATGTTTCCAGGGTTGATCTGAAAGGTCTCATAAAGTCTAACTTATTAGAACCTCCATGGCTTAAGTAATCTGGTGCACAGCCAAAACAGGTGGGCCAAGTTCCATCATATGATGTTTTCACATTTTCACATCCAAAAAAGCTATAAATAGAGATGGGTTTCTCCCAGGTTAACACCTGGCTGGATTCAGTGCAGGATGAGCCCTGCAAGGCTAAGAAAAGGGAGTTGAATTCTTTGTACACAAACTAGACCCAACTTAATTCTTGCAGAGTCTGCTTTTGACTACACCACAAACTGATCCAGTTTGGTGTCAAATACTAATGACATCTACTGTTTGCTTTAGTGTGTCACAGGATTATTTGGAATTGAATTGTGCAGGAGAGGGATTTATCTGGTGGCACCACAAAATACTACATCTCCTGTTTTTCAGCCTTCCTTGTTAACTAAAGTATTCTTTTTCAATAATGGTAACAATGTCGGTGGTCATTTCAGTGTGTTCCCTCTAAACACTGTGTTCAAACTTGTAATCTCACATGGACAGCTATAGCTGTAGTTTCTAAAACAACATTATACTAAAGACAAAAATTTTGGGAATAAACAAGTAAAAACCTGCATAAACTGTTCCTACTTTTTTTCCTTTTAGATCTTAAAGGGCCTAAATATTCGCTCAGCTCCCACTTCAAGATATTTTAGTTTATTAAGAACATGCCTTACAGTGCTGAAGCATGTTTATGTTCATGATAAATCTTACCGGTGGAGTACCACAGGGATCAGTGCTAGGTCCAGTTCTCCTTACTATATACAGTATATTCTTCCAAGCTTCCAATAGATAGAATTATCAGAAAGCTAGAGATTCATGTTCATTGTTATGCTGATGACACTCAGCTTATCCATAAAACCTGATGAAATTAACTTTTTACATGGGCTACAGGCATGTCTAAAGAACTTCTGAGAGATCTGGATAAGCTCAAATTCTCTGCTTATGAATCCAAACAAGACATAAGTTATTATCTTTGGACCAGAATCTTTGAAATTGTACTGATTAGTAAGTCATTTCATTTGGATGGGATTAGATATACTTGGTTTTATTTTTTAACCAGGGCTTGTCATTTAAATCTCATATTAAAATGCTTCTTGAATTTCAATCTTTTAAATGTATAATAACTTGTCATAAGGTGATGCTGAAAACCTAGTCCATTAATTTGCTCTTAAAGGCCGGACCATTGTGATTCATTACTATCAGGAAGACCATAGATTGGTCTGTAGGCATAACTGATCCCCATCTTATATCAAAGGATGGGTTGTACATTTTGTTCCTAACTGTGCACTTAACTTTCAATCTGCAAAGTTTAATAATGGTTCCTAGAATTTCTTGAAGTATAAACGGGAGGCAGATCTTTTGATTATCAGGCTCCCCGCCTTTGGAACCAATTACCAGTTTTAGTAGACAGACATCCTGTCTAGACAAGGCTTAAAACAGTTATCTTTGATAAAGCGTATTGTTAGCTTGGCTCAGGTTGTTGTGAGCTATCTCTATAGTTATGCTGTTATAGGCTTAGACTCCTGGGGGACATAGGGACTACTTTTCATCATTCTACTACATTCTGCCTCTATTCCCCAATTTTGCTTCATTTGTGAGTTCAAACTCCAACTTATATTTTCTCGTTTTAGATTACCGCATAGTAGCTTCATCTGGCCTGGTTCTTTTTGACATTGACATTTGCTCCTGGAGGGGACCATCAGGTGGGCTGATGCTGTCAACAATTTTAAGCAATAATGTTCTTTTATCATTTTTGACCCAAAATTGGTCTAACAGCTCCTTTACCAGAGCCACATATGGAGCTAGTTTTTCATTACCTTTTCAAACATAGCTTCCATGTACCTTTTGCATGTTCTGTCAAGTCTGCCTCAGCAGAAGGCCGCTCATACTAAGGCTGGTTCAGCTGGAGGTATATTCCTGTTTAAAGGTTGTTTTTTTTCTCTCCACTGTCATTTTCATGCTAGCTATGAAACAAAACAAAAAAATAATAACTACTGTTGCTACATCTAGAAGGAGTGGATCCTGCAAAGTTTTTTTTTATCATGCAGTAAACTTTTAACAAATCTTACTATATGATTTGATTATAATGTCTCTGTACAGTCCTTTGGGATGAGATGTGTTGGGCAGGGTTCTAATAAATGATCCTGAATTAAGATTGAAAAACAACAGTTGTGTTAAAAAATAACTGCCCTTTATCTATACCTTTTAGATAAATGGCCCAAAACATCTGGAATGAAAACACTAATATCACAAGTCTCATCACTGTGTTTCGATCACTGTGAGCAATAACTTCTCCCCATCTGGTTTGTTTCCGGTCTGCAGAGCCTTCCTCAGATTCTCCCAGAACACGTCAGGCTGGTCCGCGGCTCGCGACCAGTTCAGGTAGGTCTGCTTCTTCAGGAGCTTCCTCATGCGGTGGTAAGGAGACAGCATGTAGGTGGGAATGTCCTCCAAGAAGATCAGGATGAGCACGTCCTCCTGCTCATCAAAGAGACGGAAGCTGTGGAGATCAAAAGGGAAGAGAGGGGTTTTAAGAAAAGAACTGAATTCATTGTATTATACAAACAACTGGGTAGGGCTGAAGGGAATTGAATTTGAATCTCTGTGTATCGCTGGTTTGTGTAGATTTGTCTAGTCAAGCTACACAAACTTGATCTATAGACTCTTTAAAAAGTACAATTATCAAAGTGCTTAACATGTACATCAAATACATTACTTTTATATTTCACCCCCATGTAAGTTGAAGTGGGTTTACTAAGCCTGAGGGCCAGGCCCTGCTATGGAGGAACCACTGAGGACCCCTGGCCTAAGAAGCTTTCACTTTGTGTAATTGAAATTAAGGAACTTAAGAGTCCTGTTTAATTTTTACTGTGACTAACTGTATGTACTCTCCTTCATCCTTTGACATGAGAATTGGCTCAGAGCTCGTCTGCCTGAGAGTGTCTTTCCTCGACAGGACCAGTTGTGGAGCTAGTTAACTGTTTGGCCTACCTTTTATATATCTGTTTTTTTTTTTTTATGTATGCCTCTATCTTCTTGAACCCCAGGTGGCCTCGACAGAAGGCCGCTCACAATGACCCTGGTTCTGCTGGAGTTTGTTTTGTTTTTTCTGTTAAAAGAGAGGTTTTCCTCTCCACTGTCGCTGCATGCATACTTGGTGTGATTGATTGCTGAAGAGTCAACAACTGAATGTAAGCATATATTGTCAAAACAAGCTCATCCACGATGATCATGTCCTGCAAGTCAATGACTCAATGCAATCAACTGGTTTTCCCTAAGAGAAACTTTTAGCCAATCAGACTGTATTGTCTGTTATCTGCTTTAAGATAAACGTTTTTGTGAATTGTGCTATATAAATACACTAAAACTGAGTTGAATCCAGACTTTCACTACCTTAAGGCATTCTACTTATGACTGAACTTGACATTTAACATTTTTTGGCTTTGTGCAGGTAAACCTAACAGGAGTGACAAACAAAATATACATCTTTATATGTATATACAATAACCTCTAAAGTTATTAGTACAAAGACAAAAATTGTTACGGGCAGCTGTAAAACATCTACCGTAACTACAACTGTAAACATAATTTGATCAGGAATAAAGCTTTCCATATTAAGATTCATCCTTAAAGTAAATGGTAATATATAAAACAACAGCAATAAAAAATTTGATGAATAACCTGGTCTAAAATAATTTGGTTAGTGTATAAAAAGGGAGTTTGGCTTAGATTTCTGAGACAGCATCTTAGATGGTCCCAACAACAAAGGTAGCAGATATATATATATATATATATATATATATATATATATATATA